ACGGCAGGTGGCAGAGTCAGTGTGTCACTATAAGCTCTATCTCTGCAACACCCTTGGCTGACCCTGCAGGTGGCCACAGCCCTGAATTTTTTGGAAGCAAATACAGGACACTACCCTTTACAGCTTTTTTGAGTTCAAGTTTCACATTTGTCAGTTATTTTCTGAAGAGCACAGAAAAAGGCAGTGATCAGACATACTTCAGTGACSAAGCTATAGCAGAGAATGATTCTATTAGAAAGGCCAGACACACTTGCTCTGGCCCCTCCATGTAGGTGCTGCTCTTTGAAAAGGGCCTAAAGCTCTCTTTGTGCTTKTCCAAGAGGCAGCTGATAAGGGCTTAGGAGATCCCTCAGCTGGCAGATCTGGGAATTGCTGGCTGTAATARTTTCCATCCAGTGAATCTAGTATTGTGGTTTATCTCCAGAGTAAATGCTCTGATCATACATGCTCCACCATGAAAAATACCCTGTGTCCCTCCACCTTGGCCCTGCAGGGCACGATTGAACCTTCTTCACTAGAACATTCACTGTGAGGTCATCTTGAAAATCTCCTTTCAGACATTGTGACACCAAGAGCACCAACTCCAAGTGTTGTCTTTGCTATGTGGAAGAGACAGCTCTTAAGTGATGGATTAATTATGTGAATTTAAGTGGCACAGGGAACACAGTTAAGGCAGGACAAGTTGTAGTTTCCATGTAGTCTGAACAGATTGAATGTGATGAGGAAAGGCAGGTTAAGTTTCAGCTTTTCATCCCCTGCTAAGGGACTGGAATGTTGTAACCCTGGAATTTTACTGCATCTTGGTTAATATAAATTTATAACCAAGACTACTTACACAAGGGGACAGAAAAGAGAGCAAAATAAGACCTCGTCTTGGTCTTGGTTCTGTTATTTCTAAGCCAACTCTTGCAACTTACCTGTCTTGATCTTTTCAAGGAAAGATGAGACAGGCTTCAGAGTTATTTTTATGTGTTCTGGGAACTAAAAAYGCATCAACACATCTGCTTTTAATTTCTCCCCTTTTTACCCACAGATATAGTTCACAGATACAGGAGTCCCAGCATCCTTTATTTTTTAAGCCTTTTTTGTTTGTTTTTTGTTCCCTTTTTTCTCCAACAAGTCTTACCTTCTTCTGTTTGGATGCAGAAGAGCTGCTGGAACTGTTTTCAGAATTACTCCACAGAATGTGAGTGTTTGCTTGATCAAACAGCAYGCATGTAAAAGCTCTAAGGATCTGGCCTTGTTATAACCTGGTCTTTCAGCAACCTTTAAGCATCTTTACAGATACTTTTTACACTGCCTATGGTCTAACAAGAGGTTATCCTTTCTAGAAATGTAGGGCACTATGGCTCACTTTTAGCCCATCAGGATTCAAGAATTTACTGAACATTTCCCTAGGGCCCTCCCTTACTCTTATAAAGCATTCTAATCTTAATTATTAGTCCATTGTCCAAAACATCAGCATTCTTGCTCAATTATTGTTTCCATTCCAACTATGCATGTAGAAAGGCAGATTTTAAAGAATGGCATGTTTTCCACACTTTTTGCATATTTGCTACTATGGATTGTTTGTCAAGGAAAAGGCCTTTTTCTGGTGCCATACTCATGCTTTATTTAAAAAAAAAAAAAGCTACACAATGCTAAGGAAAAAAAAAATCAAGTATACTTTACAAAAAAACCCTGCAGCTATTTTTCAAGAGATCTGATCTCACTTATAAATGCGAGTTGGCAGGTAAGAAATTAAATGATAATTTAACACTTCAGTTGCAGWACATCATCTGAACTCAATCATCCAAAATAATCAGTCATTCTTAAATTGACTGTTGATTGTAGCTACCCAAACAATCATCTGTATCAATTGATTAGAAAAAGTCCCTGGGAAAATATAGAAATAAATGGAAAAATGTCAGGAGAATGTTATTTAGCCTACCTACAAACTTTTGCAGAAACTAAGAGATCTTTGTGGCTTTGCTCTCCTCTGTAAGTTAATTGCAACTCCTCTGTGTATTTCAGAAATGTCTAAGTGTAAAGCTGCCAAATTCTGGTCAGTGAGTGGATTAAATTAGTATAGTATAGATCTATGTATACAGTTACCAACCATTTACACTACTGCTATGTCTCACTATTTCCACGGAATTGTATTGTGCAAGTCTCAAATAACTTCAGAACACTCCTGAAACAGCCCTTATGTCACTCCTATGAGGTAGGTACTGTCCTTCCCTTGGAGAAGAAAAGAGAACATACTCTCTACTGCTCAGTACATCAGGCACACTGAARAACAGGACAACCAGCCTACTTTAGTATTTGACTTCTCCGGATTCAGAGCTTTCACCTGCAACATTTTGTTTAGCACCTTGCATTCCAGGAATAACCAGCGAATGATACTTTTGACTGCACCTGTTCCCAGGTAACGTGTTCAGTGTAACTGTTTTAGAACAAGCAGAAGCACTGCCATCTCTAATCTGCTCCGTTCTGCTCCACAGCCTACAATTTAATTACTTTGTACATTGAGAGTAAACKTCAATCTTTTAGTCTGACAGCAGCCACTCTTCTTTCTCCAAATAAAGGATACTGTGGAAAAAAAATGAACTGCTGCCACAAAGCAGACAGCAGAGTATCACGTGCAGTTCAATGGTAGCTAAATTAATGCTTTGCTACCTCTGTAGATGGCTTTTTCCTACCCCAAGTGTAGAATTGTTAGCTCTTCACAATTTTTTTAGTAAGTTMATGAGAAAGGAATTCACAGAGATCCTCTGTGATTTTAAAGTCATAGTTCATTTTCTCTCTAGAAGTATTTTAACATATCTTATTAGTAAAGAAGAAACCCTAGCCCACATCTCCTTTCCCAGCTCTCACTCTTCRCAAAACCTCCCAGGAGCAGTTGTGTGGCAGTGTAGTAAGCTGGCTGAGAATTGGTAAGAATGCTGGATTATACAAATGCTTGTGCTGCCACATGGAAAGGGGTGGYACAGACAGGCAGAATTGCTACTGTCTCATCTTTAAGTCAGCAAAACTATACCCTACTCAGCTGATAATAATGATATCCAGTAACACACTTGTTTAAAAACTGAGTAGAAAATTCAAGTACCAAAATAAAAGTTTCTAAGCCATGGGACAAAGTAACATCTATGTTTTCCCATTTGAAGAAAACTGAGTGTAATAGACTGGCTTATTCACTAGAAATAATACTAGAGATGCCAAAGTTCAGTTACCACTGCATGCTGCAATGTTACTGCTAAATTTCAATTGCAGCAAATTATTGAGAAACAAGTAATTCAAAAATGTTATGACATTYATCATGAGCAGTAGTGGTCTACTGGCTCCTGTTCTTATGAATGGCTTCTGGCTGAGAAAGTCACTATGAACCATCTACAGTGAATTCCRAGTTGTATCATCAGAAAGACAATCTTGCTACAAGCAGACTTTCCCATTGCTGGTTCCGACGCAAGCTGCCTYCTCTTCTTTCACACTTAGAACTTAAGCATTTGGGATCAACCACTGAGWGCACAGAAGAGCTCAACTTTCAAATACTTACTTGTACAGTCCTTCAGCTTCTAAAAGCTTTACTTGTTCCAGCACTCAGTTGGGCCTAATCTATTTATCTCAACAAATAAAACCAGGATATTACAAATTAATATCCTCTGTTCTGATCCTTTGTCTTTTTTCTTGGCGTACCAATGTATCACCACCACCGCCTCAAAGAGTACCTTTAAATCTTGAGAAGAATTAAGAGCATACAGTTCAAGATGACCTATTACAAGAAGGTGAAAAAAACCCTCTTGATGCCAGGTTAGAGACAACAATCCAAGAGGGGAGATTTGCAAGTTCAATGCATCAGGTGCTGCAATCACTATAGGGCTTTAGCACAGGAACCCTTTAATCCATAAACACTCCATTGAATCAATGCAAACTGAATACAAACCTGCAAATCTACCACAGAACCAGTCAGATTGTATCACTAAAGACAAACAAAGCTGTTCCACACAACTGGAGTGAAGATACCYCTCATGAGAGCAGCACTCAATTGTTTGCTAAATGATCTGTGTGACAATTAAGCAACCTTAACCACAAAAAATATTGTGCCTGCTGGACTAGCTGTAGTTTCAGGAAGTTGAACAAAGCATCTCTTCCATAGGAGTATGAGTTAAGAACATCTTCACAGTTAATTCTGGCAAAATATATACGAAAGTAGTGCCAACRGGAGTAGTTTCAGAGCTTAGATGCTTCAAACACACTGTGGCAGGATTTGAAAGTAGCATTCATTGACTCAGAAGCTCAGAGCAAACGTAGAGCTAAATGGGCATTTTCACAGGTGGGGATCAGAAAAGGGAGGAAAAGAAGACAACAGCGGCCTCAAACCTATGCCTCTTCCTGAACTCAACAAGCTTTCAGATAATGTTCAGACACAAGAAGGGAGGCAGTTGAGATGCAAACGATTCAAGCCTTGTCCAAGCAAACTGATGTTCTGCATATTGGCTCTTTTCCCCATCAGTTAATTTCTGAACACAGTGGATGTGGATCAATACCTCAGTAYCTGGTAATCATGTAAGCCACAAGAGGAAATCTCATTTTGATTTTGCATACAGCTTTTCTGCTTGAGTACTGAACCAGCATGCAGCTAGTGACAAATATACATCTGTGTTACTAGTTAAGAAAAGAAAGAAACCTCAGACCAATGTACTGACCAATGCAAAGACGTCTCAGATTTAAAAACTGTGAAGGGTGAATTAAATAATTTGCCAGTAAAAGGAATTATTTGAAGCCAACTGTTTTCCAAATTCAGTTTCAACTGTGTACAGCAAATCTTTGYAAAGCTTTGAAAAAATAAATGGATGTTTTGATACATATGACATTCTAGTTCTTAGGAGAGAGAACCAAGAACTTAMTGAGAAGTTMTTCTGGCTTATTCAATAGTTTCTTMAGTAAACATTGCAGAACTACTACTATAATCTGAATACCTAAAATGCTGGCACAAGACAATAACTAACCATTTAACAAACTGGGTATAAAAAAGAAATTTATGTAGTAATACCAATTCAGCACACAAATTCCATGCTTCACAAGTTCTGCTGCTGTGCAAGAGTCTTCCTAACATCTATGCAGCTAAGTTCAGATTTTTAGGTCACTGCATGCCCAGATCAAAACAGCAGCAAAAATATCTACCACTACAAGCAGCTATACCCAATTGTGCCTTTAGAATGAAAATTATACAGAAGTTGAGATGATCAGTGCCTTGCCACTGAGACAGGACCACATACACACAAACTTCAGTGTGTGCATGCCCTAAAGAGTAATGTTACTTACTGAATGAGAAAAATGCATTCAGGTTCTGATACAGATATGATACAATCAAGACAGATTAAAGTCACCAGACATTCAGATTAGGGAGAGGAGAAAAATCCTTCAATGACAATGTACAGATGACAAGCCAGCATTACAAAGAACTCTAAAGGCACATTTCAGGTAACATGTTTCTGTTAAGACCAACTGCTGACACACGCAGGCACAAATCTTAATGGCTACCTCCCCCCGACCCCCAACAATTTTAAAAAAAGGAAAAATTAAAAGAGAAGTGCATTTTCAGAAATATTAACACCATTCAGTTAATCTGTTCAGTCCAAATGTTTAGCAGTATTTTCCTTATGGTGATATGGGTTYTCTGCACTACTCCAATCCAAAAAAACCAAACAGGCAGAATTAGTAAAGGTTCAACTGTTGCACTAGTTAACATTACTCATCAGAGCCCACTGGTCTCTTCTGTGCCCTCTTGTAGGGCAACCTCCTCGGTGAAGCTTTATCTAGATTTTAAGGAAAAAAAAAGAGAAGAAAAAAAAAGGAGATAGTCACATCAACTGCAATTGTTACATGAGTATGTATTTTCCTCCTCCCAAACACAAGACAAGCTACCCTTCTAGTGCAATGCATCACCACAGAGAAGCCAGTTCTAACAACTTGTTAAGCCTTTTTAACTATTTGCAACCTAAATAGAAAGTAACAAAAAAGTTTCCAATCCACAACATGCAACACCAAGGTTAAGGTTTCTTCTATTTGCCAGTTACTAAAATGCAAAATAACCCAAACCCCTATGCCACCCCCACGTGAAACTGCACGCTTTGCTGTTTAGAAAAATTTCATGTTCAGTAATTGCACTCTTAGAAAGTTAAATTATTTATTTTGATGACTATTGGTTGAGTTTACCTGCCTGAAGAATGTAAGATTGACTCTTCTTCAGACAGCTTTGTCTTGCATGCAGTATTGCCACATCCATACAATTAACAGCAGAAGAAAAGTGCCTTTGTTGTGAAAAACTGCACTTTTCCAGGAAGCATCTGCATTTAACTGGATGATCTTTAAGGCCCTTTCCAACCCAAACCATTCTGTTGTTCTACAGTTATTACAGAAAAGCTTCATGAAGTGCTCAAGTGATTGCTAAGTGCATCTGATAACTAATTTTCTTCAACAGAACAACCTCCAATAACCTCCCTGTTTAGAGTATGTGCAAACATAAGAAGCAGCCATCGTGCCTTCACAGGCCAATCCATACAGTATGAAGTGTCAATAAAAAAGTCAAGAATATCTGAGACCTTGAAGGTCATGTATTTTAAAGAATTCTAGTGTAGAGTTCTAATTGAAACTAACCTGGAGATGAGAAAGCTACAATTAAGAACAACTTAACCATTAGTATTTCTTAAATTATTATTTCCTTCAATTATTAAGAAAGGAATATCTATTTGGCTTAAGAAGGGATGGTGGCAGGGCCCAAACATTACCAGGATTTGAATCCTTTTAAAGACAGCTTGCTCTTTAGAGAGAAATAGCATTTAGACCTTCAGTTTGTCTTGCTAGATTGAGGCTTTTCAAAYTCGTGTGTCTGCATTTTATATTATTGTTGTGTCTCACAGAAGAAAGTGTACAAGAAAGCTTTTATCTTCACATGTACAGCACTAATAGTTTTACCTGTGTTGTGTAAGTACACTTAAAAAGGTGAAGAAATTAAAAAAGCACAAAGTCATCAACTCCTGGCACAACTTCATATTATAGGTAAGGCCTCTAGACCTTCTACACTGAATGAGGTTCAGAATATGCTTATTTGATCAAAACAGCCATCTTTGCCAAGCAAAGGTAGCTCCTGCAAAGGATTTTCAAAGCACATCACTTTGCATCTTGTCTAGGATGCACTTTGTCAAGGCCTTCTCACCTCACACCAGTCACTGTTACTGATGATAGGAGTTTATCAGCCTGATACTATGCCAAGGTAAGTGGGGAAGGCAAGATAAACATCTGCCTTTTAGAAAAAGAATTCCCAGAATCGTGAGAGAAAACAATAGTTCAGCAATATTCTACTGAAACTATGTTTCTACAATATAACCAGAAACGTATCTACAAAATACACGAAAACATAAAWTTAGAAATATATAGAATGTGTGCCATTGCGTGCATCTGTTCTGCAATCTTTCACTGCTCGTGCTACATCACCAGTCATGGCATGCAGGAWGTTGTAGTTCTATCCATGCCTAATTATTACATGGACAACACAATAAGMACTTTTCACTCTTCAGCTCACAAAGGTCTGCCTCACCTCTTCTACTCTGCACTGAAGCCATGGGAAAGCAAAAGAGAAGAAAGAGTAAGAGAAGTTAGAAATATCCACAGTCTAAAGAAATGCAGCTATTTGTTTACTATTGACATTTCAGGTATCAAGAAGAACTTTTGSATTTGTGTAGAACGTGAACATCAAGTATTAATGTGGCTTTAGTTAAAACACACTTCTAATGCTTACTCTGGTCCATAGGTAAACTTCCGAACGACTTACAGAAACTTTGAGATGACAGCTATTTTCTCCTATTTAAATCTCCTYTGTGATCCAGGTTTTGGGTAGAGATTTTAGACTGTTGAAAAATATTCTACAGAATAAATTGTAAAAGTCACCAATAGTCATTATTTTATCAACCAGTGAAGTTTGTTCTACAAGGCTGCTAAAGTAATAATCTAGGCTGCTAAAGTAATAATCTAATCCGTAGGCACAGTGCTTGAGACAAATTGTTATTCCCTAGAAGATACACGCTGTTTTAAGAAATGAGTATCAGCTACTTACTCAGTTACAATTCACTGATCACRTAAGTTTGTTACGCTCTAGTTTGTGAAAGGCAGACTACTTACTTATTTGATTTAAAGTTTCTTGGGGAATCCAGCTCATATCAACATCATTCTGATTTGATGTTCCCATCTCTACTTTCTGTACCGGTCTTTTCCTCTGAAAATTCAAGAAAGAAAAAAGATCTTTATTTTAAACAAGGTTTGGGTAGCACAAATATCAGAAATTACTAAAAAGGCTATGTATAATGAATTACAACTATTTCACTAAGGCACAAACGTAAGACTAGTCAATGTACAGAGTTGTCTTTCCCATTAGCAATTTATTTCCCTAAGCTTTACATTACCACTTCTAATGCCTCACAACACTTATTCCACATAAAGGCACCAAGATTTCATGCACACCTGGGCAAATTCATTATATTTTTTGCTGATTATGAATCAAACTTTGTGATGACCAGTTTCTTTCTGCTTTCTCAGATTAGCAAAATATTCTCATATGACCTGACCTCACAAAATCATCAACATTATGGCAAAGCTTTGCTAATAACTAAATAAAGGACTGAGAGCTGTTTTCCCCTGAAGTCTGACCTGGATTAAACTAACAGGCAAAAATAGAGAGCATGGGGACTGAATGAGTAGATACACACATCCAGTGATTAGAAGGTACTCCAATTCAACCACTTCAGTGTGGAGGCAAAGAGCAGACCAAAAGGGCATGAGCTCAGCAATTAGAGTATCTTCAATTATGAACATTTTTAAGAGCTCTCTAGTTTCCCAGTAACCTTGAAGGATCTAAAAATAAATCTTCTACCTGTACCATCATATGTCAGAAGCAATTATTAAACTGTTTTCACATGAGAAAGGTCTTGTATTAACAAGCAGACAGACAAACACACTACTCACCTTCCTAGACTCTAGTAACTGATGTAGGCCAACAATGACCAGCAGACCAAGTCCAGCCAGGAACATGTACATGAAGATCCTTTAAAAAACAGTTTAAGAAGCCATTAACTAAAAATGTCAATTTTTCAAGAAAGTTTATGAAGAGGCATAGGAATTRAGCCTAGCTTTGGCCACATGTCCACTTAATCTTTCCCAAGAACTTTTGTAGGGGGCAAGTGAAGAAAATACCCAATGAATCTGAAACTAAAGTGCTAACAACTATTATGTAATTATTCTGACTTGGATTTCAGAAAAATGTAATTTTTTAAGTCTGTAAGTTTAATTCTGAATGACAGAACATTCAAAAAATATATAAAATACTATATACAGTATACTATTTATACTATATATATAGAATAAATGGTGAAGGTGTATATAGTATAAATGGGATAACTTATAAGAYACAAATACAGAAATTTAGTAACTTCACAAACTATTTTGCACTATCATGAAGTTTCAAGACATTGGGTCACGGGCAATATTTTTGTTTATGACATCTTTAATCCCTTATAAAACCCTTAAACATCTCTTACATGCCTTTAGCACACTACTGCAAAGCAAGTACTGCTAGGACACTACTAATTTGCAACAGAGCTTCGAAAGACCTTGTTTATCTTGCTCTGTGTTCCACARTTGGAATTCTATCTATGAAATCAGTAATTTTTTTAATCTGTGCATTTTKGTTTGCTTTAAATAACTTTATCTGAAGTATCTTTTTGATTTTATCTGAAATATCTTTTATATTTCTGAAGAAATATTGATATTTAGCAAGAGATAAACCTAAGTTTAGGGTTTAGGGAGTTTGCAGGTAAAGAACCTATTCCAAGCTGAACATCTGAATTCTCATTTATGAAAAAGGAAATTATGGAGTTCAACTAAAGAAGATACTTAATTGAAATCCCTGAAATGGTAATTATCTGTTCACAGGACATTCACATGAACTGATTATTGTATTTTAGTTGTTTTGAGAGCTCCTTTTTCAGTGTACCACATATTTTCACAGGACCAATTGTTCTTTCATCTATACTATTCTATTTGAGAAATACAAATTAATGCTACAGCTATTTTTTTTGGCTGACCTTTTTTAAAAGGACGTTTTCTCATCAGGCAATTTCTACTTGTGGCAGGACAATTGAGCTATTCAGCATTGTCTACAAATATTTCTAAAGATTAACTTTTCTAACATACAGGTTCACTTAAAATTCCATTCCAGTGTTACAATATTTAAAACTATTTTAGCACAGCATATGCTTAAAACCTATTTGGTGCGTCAGATCTATGTAAGTCTCTGAAAAAAAATCCCTCCTGCAAGATACCTAGTACAGAAGGAGCTAGTGCAACAACAAARGACTGAGTTTCTCTATCTCATACTCCAAATACATTCTTTAGTTTATGTAAWCTTAGATTACACTGCAGTCTTCCAGAGGCAAGCTATTCCAGTCTTGACAGTAGGACCCACAGCCTGATACTATGGACCCTCTGCATTCTTTCAACTCCTAGGAAAAAGTACAGYAACATAACAAAAGTTTAACAGCTTTGAATTACTATGTAGCTGTATAACATCAGGTCCTGTTCCAGGCTAAAGCCTTCTGAGCTAAAGCACATCTGTAAACTTCTCACTGACACAGTGCCAATTCTGAAGATCCCCACTATTAATACAGATCCTTATTTTGGGAAAAGTTCATATTTTCAGTCTGTCATCACTGTGTAAGTCAAATGCTGTTACACCATCAACAAAACACAGCAGACCTAACATTCAATTAAAATGACAATACAAGAACCATTTTCATTGGCACCACCAGTACAATGTTCTACCAGTGTACCAACTAAACCTGGATTTCCAGTCTCCTTACGTTTCTCCATCCAGCCCATCTTCTTTTTCAATAATTGTRACAGTTTGATTGAAGACAGCATCTTGAAACACATTGCCCTAGAACAAAKTTTGCATGCAACATTTTAAATCAATTTTAACATACACAAAAATTTACCTTTTTCTATTTTCTTGGAAAAATTCTACAAAGTAGCAACTCATGCACAAGACTTTCCCAAGTTTATAAATTGTGCTAGTTTCACTCAACACATAAAAGCACAAATGTTTTGTTGCAAGCACAAAGAAAAAGTCTCATTATCAAGATGGTCACGTTTAGGCTTCAGTATGTTACTTTCTATAAAAAGAGGCATTGCATTCGAAAAGCTCCAATTAGGACTACCAAGACACAAAGTTACAGAAATCTGTTAATCTTTGCCCTGCGCTTAGAGAGCAAAGAATAAAATTGATCCCCATCAATGCTTTTGGACAGTCTTTCCCCAGATTGCAACTACTGGACTTTCATTTGCCTTAAGTGCATTGCAGGTGGCATTCACATTGATTGTAGGGTTTGTTAGCAAAGCCCAATCTGAAAAGCACAGGGAAATTTAGGTTCTCCTGAAGGAAGCATTCATTTTGTTGGCTAGGTGGGTTTTTTAGGGATTTAGCCAACTACAAYACAATTCTAAGGCACTCCAGCTTCCACTGCTGATATAACCTTAAGTGCATGTAGGCAGTCACTTGCTGTGCATATGTAGCTACTGATTTGCTTAAATAATACAGAGGCATTCACTTTCTGGAGAGGTACTTGACTAAGTAGYTCCTTCCTGACACCTCCACATCAACTAGAATGATTCAAATGAATTACAGCATCAGGCTTACATTTACATCTCTGTAGTTGAGATTGATAACCAGACCGAAAGGACGGCCACCCATAGGTTCAGCAGGGATGAAGGARTACTCAAACGTGGCTTGTCTCTGTGGTGGAACTACTGTGTTCAGAGAGAGAGCTGTGAAGTTCTGGATGTAAAACTGATAGTCTTGAGGGTACCGGAAAGAAGCATCGAGAGACTCGACAATGAAATCCTCTGTACCCTTATTGGTGAAGCCCACTAGAAATTTTACAATGTTGTTTGCTGGAAAGTCTGAAACACAAAAAAAAAAAAAAAAAAAAATCAACCATTAGAAACCTCATGCACCCCACACAAAGCCAATTCTGAACAGAGAACATCTAAGAACAGACTCTGTGGTTTTAGAGCTTCACTGTTTGAGGCACACACTGATGTAGTCTAAGCAACAGTAAAGAGATCGGTAATAAGCAGAGGACTCTTACCTTCACCTTTCACAAATAAGATGGTTGTATCAGCACTAGGTGAGGCTTTAGGTTCTCCTGACAAGTCTTCCTCCTCTTTTTCTTCTGTCTAAGACAAAACACTTTTTTGAAAAATCCTATAATGAATAGTGAAGCAAAACCCATGCTTGGTTCATGAGAATCCCATGTGTCAAAGCATGCAACAGTGACAAGTATTCATACCAAATCCTGCTCCTGCAGGATTAGTACATAGTCTAGATTTGATGAGCATCCCTTTCAGCATTCATGTTTCTACTTGTTACTTTTGACACAGTGACTAATCTGAACTACATTTAGCTCTACTGAAGGGTTTATAATCAARAAGCATCAGTAAGGCTTCTTTTTGGGGATGGAAGGAAAAGAACAGAATCTAAATGCTAAGTGTTCACATGCAAGGTATTTCTAGTTAGAAAAACAAGCATTTCCAAAATAAAGACAGCCATAAGACAAACGACTTACTTTCACTACAGGGAGTCCTTAYAGCAGCTTTCTATTCAGTTTTAATTGGTTCAGCATATGTATGGCTGGAAATGGTTAGGCTGCTGGAACTACRTAAGTCCATGGACTCACTTGTTCAAGTTCACCTTGTGATGATTCGCTTTTAAATTTGGCAAATGCAAGCATTAAGGGCTTATTTTCCACTTGGGGATCATGGGATCATCACTGCCCCCACCACACAAAAACAAGGCTGACCCAGTACAGAACAGTCTTAGCTAATTGCTTGCGAGTAAGTTGGATCATTTGACTTCAGTGCTTAACAGCCTTCTGAAGCAGTGCAAATCCTACTAGATCAGTTGTACACATACCATAAACTAGGGAACCAGTGCTGAGCGTGTARCATCTTGATTCCAAGATGCCATTAAAAACTCTATCTTTCATTTCAGTGACAAATAACAGAAACCATCTAAAAAGCATCATGTTTTGTACCTGACACACTGACTATTAAAAGCAAATTACATCCAAAAGGTTATTTAATAACATTCTGTCAGTACTGACACAGTATGCCTTCTACCACTCAGAAAAGCTGGTCAACCATAAGCTCACCAATTTAACAGCATCAGGAAAATCTGAYAGAATCAAGTAACAGTCTTCCAAATCTGTATTTTTATTATGYATGTCTTATCCTACAATATCCCAAACTTCCTTTATTTACATCACAGATTTGAGAAAATATTGCACCAATCTGAGAACACTAAGTGTCTGGCAAGCCAACCACTTAACTGCTATAAGCAGATCACAAAACTATATCAAACATTTCACTTTTAAAATTATTTTTTGTAGTTTTTTGAATTTGTGTTGTAAATTTAGTTAGCTGAATTCTTTCAAATTGTCTTGTCTGATTAGTTTTGCTTAGCATGAGGTTGCTGAAGCCTTAGGTTTCAAGTTGCAAAGTTTCACCTTGAAAAGCTGAACTGATCATGAACTGTTGCCTAGGTAAGTAAAGGRAGGCTCTGAAATCAGTGCAAACTGTGAAACTAGGAAGCCACAACTGTCAATACAAGATGCAACCCATCCAGATAAATACAGCCACAGAAAAATAATTCAACAAGGAACAGGAAGAACCCAGAACAAAAATCACCACTAAACCAAGAGGCATGTGCCAGGCATGTGAAGAATGGGTACACAGGCTGTAAGGGTGTAAAGCCCAGGGACTTTGTTCTGGGACAGCCTAAGTGTCCCTATGGTGGTACCACTCAATTATTGAATTACTTCCTGGAAATGGACATCTGAGACTCTCCTGAGGGAAACCCAGGCAAAGCAATTTTTTAAAAATTTGTCAAGCTAAAGCAAGTGACCCTGAACAGCAACATGGCCAGGGGTATAACCTGCAACAAGTGTTAGAGTTCAGCGTGTAGCACGTGACACTGGGCTACAAAATAAGGGTTTCAGAATTCATACTGCACTTAACTAAGAACCAAGACTCTGCTGYGACTTAGAAATAAATAACAAAGAAGTCAGAAAGAAGTAGTTCTATCCCCCAATGCTTTTCTCAGTTTACTGAGGTGAAGCTTAAGACAGAAAAGGACTACAGAGGGCTCTTAGGAGAATCTGATTGTCTCCCTTGGTGGGGTTTTTTGTGCCCTACAGYTATGGTAGTCAGAAAACAGGTTGTYCCCATGYGGTTTTTCARCTGGTGATTCAGAAAGAATAGRTAAATCCTTCTGACACTTCAAACTGAGCACAGGCTTAATCAGACCCATGGAAATAGCTATCTGAAAATAGTAATGTTAGTAAATCCTTATTTAAGTTATCCAGCTTCAAGCACTTCTGGTATAATTCATGTTTTTGAAGGAATATTCATGTACAATTACCAAGTCTGTTGGCTCATCTTCTTCAACTTCAGCTTCATCATCTTCRTCTTCAACTACAGTATCTTCCACAGCTTCCTCATCTTCTGTAGCATCTTGAGCTGCAACTAATAAACCTGAGCCTACCAAAACAAAATACAGATACAAGAAAGTCTTTTAAATRTCTAGTCAAACAACAGAAAACTGGTGCTGAAGTACAATTCTCAAACTAAGGTTTTTGAGGAACTTCTCAAAAACCTGTCCAACACAGMATTTTGAAGCCTCAGCTGCAAAAACCTCCTATTCAAATGATGTCTGTGTTGATCTTTCAGCCTTATTACTTCTCTAAAAACYTTCTCACTTACTCGTTTATCTGCCACTAAGTTCAAACCCAAAAATTTCAAATCCAAGTTCAAATCCACAYAGCAATGCACTTTTTGAACACATTAACATATGAAATAATTTAATTTTGCAATTTCGAAGATGAAAATAAAACATTGCTATTGCCAGGAAATTAATTTAGTAACACTGTTTCTGCTAAGACTAGCAAGCCTAACAAGTTATTAGCACACTGAGAACACTTCGAAAGGTAGCTAAAATGTTCCTATTTTTTGTACTTAGTTTCATTCACATTTTGAAACATGAAGTCCTTTTTAGTATGACCTCCTCAATACCCTATACTACTTATCCCTATATTCAACAAAACCACATTAGTCAGAAAAGAAACCCGACTTACAAAAAGGCTCCAAGACAAGCACAATCTGATAATTCATTGCCTCTTTGCTTGTGCGAAGCCAAGCCTCATACATTCAAACACTGGGCAAATACGATTAATGAAAATACTGGCCATGGGACAAAGTTCTGTCTGTTTGCAGTTTAGAGCACATGAGCACATGAAAGGAAGGCTGAGATCTCCTAAAACACGTGCACAAAATGACAGGTTTGGATTTTTTAATAAACATAACATCTCCAAATATGAAAGAGTAGAAATGAATGRATGATTGATTCATGTAAGTCTGAAAAAATCTAAYTCTATAAATACAAAAWYYWAAARRAAWWWTWAAAAATTTTCATGGGAAATATGAATCCTTGAGCAGGACAAGTATATCCAAGGACTTAAGAATTGTSAGTCAGTGCTACAAAGAGCAAATATAACCCCTCCTCTCAAGTGTCTTTAGAAGGCACACTCAAAGACTTTTGCTYGACCACATGCAATACTTAACCTGAGCCTTAACTACCACGGTTTTATCTGCTGAAGTTTTAAACTTGCAAGTGTATAAAAACATGCAATTTCTACGAAAAAATACCTTTATAAATAAAGGTGGAGTTTTTTTAAATTAAAAACGAACAGGGTACAGGTAAGCGATAGGCACCCTTTGCGATCAGCTGCTCAGCACACCCTCAGACCCCTTACGGTCTTTCCGATGGATGTCAGAGGGGCTGATGATGTGGCAATAGCGGGAACGGAGAGCTCTGGGAAGGGACTCGCACACGGTGTGCGCTGCAGCCCACCGCAGGAGCTGGGAGACAAGCCTTCCCCGCCTCTCCTGCCTTCCCAAACTTAGTAGTAGGGAGGCAATTTCCAGATCATGAATCAGATAACGCCACAGCGTAAACAGAGATTAGCGCTCCTCGGTGTCGCCAAGGACACTCGGGGGGTGGCGGCAGACGAGGTGGGAAGGCAGGGTGGCAGCCAGCGCATCTGTTGGCGAATGTGGGCACCAGCACGGCCGGCGAACGGCGAGAAGGGCAGACCCGTTGCCACCGCCTCAGGCGGGGCCCGCCGGGCCGCTGTCACGGCCGGGCCCGAGCCGGGTGCCCAGGCGGCAGCCGCTGGGCCCTGCCCGACACCGCGGGTCGCTGCGCCGGGAGGGGCCGGAGCGTGGCCCCGCAACCGCCGGGGCGCCCCCGGACGAGGCCGGGGCCCCGCAGACACCGGGCCGGGCCCCGGAGCCCCGGCGGCGGCAGCCACGTGCGCGGGCGGCCGGGGCGATGAATGAGCAGCGCCCGCCGCCGCCTCCCGGCGCAGCTTCCACAGGCCCGGCGGGAGCGGCTCCCTCTCCGCGGGGATCCCCCCACCCACCAGCCCCGCTCCCCGAGCCCAGGCAGCAACAGCCGCCCGCCCGCCCTCACCTGGGCCACCGCGGGCACCCCCGAGCAGCAGCGCGGCGGGGAAGACGAGCAGGGCGAGCAGCAGCAGCTGCGACAGGCGGCTCATGGCGACGGTGATGGCGACGGTGATGGCGACGGTGATGGCGGCGGCCGCGGCGACCCGAGCCCTCCTGCACAGCCTGTCCCGGCGCTGGTTGCCGCGGCGGGATGTCTAAATGGCGGCGGCGGCGAGCGCTGGGGCTGGAGCAGCAGCTGGAGCCGCCTCCCCGCGCCGCTCCATCCGGGGCCGCGCCCGCCCCGCTCCGCCCCCGCGGACGTGGCTCGGCCGGGCAGGAGGCGCGGCGGCCACGTGAGCGCTCGGCGGGGCGGGCGCTCCCTGCGCTCCCTGCGCTCCCGGCGCTCCCGGCGCTTCCTGCGCTCCCGGCGCGGCGCCTCGGTGCCAGGAAAGGGCTCGCAGCACCGACCTGTCCGCCCGTGCGAGGAACCTGTGGATAGCGCTCTCGGGCCCCTCGGTGATCCTTGGTTCTGCGCAGCGCTGGGGGCTGGACTCCGACCATTCTCCAAAATGTGGAATTTGAAGATCTAATCTGTAAAACAGCAGCTCCCAAGCAAGCTCTGTGTGATGTTCAGGTGTTAGAAAGACAAGTAACTTGTCGGTAGAAGTGCTTTGYTGAGGTTTAGGGCTTGTCATGCTACAGTAGTCTCAGCCGTAGAGCTTGTGTAGAAGGATGTAGCACTAATAGKGGACACAAAGAATGCAGAATTTACAGGCCRCAAGGACATTTGGCAGAACTCCCAAGATAAGGAAGAAACTTATTAAACCCAACTCAGCAACTGCRCCGAATCAGCTCTKACTGGATAAAAGGTARTTCCGGCAGGTGATCACGGCCACCGACTCACGGACCACCGACCACAGAAACCCCCTGACTCCAGAGCAGAGAAAAACTGAGCATRTKRATTAATTAATGAGAAGTGAGARACTCRTTAACSAATAAAAGATAAAATACTAATTAATATGGGAAATATGTAACTTGTAGATAATGAACAGCAATGCCTTTGTTTGCTAAAATGTGTAAATAGTGAAAAGTTTTGATAGTTGGTGTGCTTGGTTTGTGGAATACCACTGAACATCCAGACTGGTGCAACTCAGAAATAAATGATCAATGTCTCTCTCAAGTGTGTAATGATTGCCTTGTTGCAAACCAGGTAACAAGTGCAATTTTTTCTGGACAACAGTGGGTCACTTCCAAYTCAGAATGTTCTGTGATTCTGTGGGTAGTAGACCTTTTGTTAAAAGCAGTATAAGGGATGTTAAAATGGAAAGCTTTCCCAAGACCTACCTTCAAAACATTCAGTGAAAATAAAAATGCCAAGGCCAAAACCAAGCTCTACGCTTTCTCTTCTCCCACAGCTTGTCCAGCTATTTGAATACAAGGTACAATRAAACAAGAATAGTGTTAAGATACATTCTATATTTTGAGGTGACTTTATCATTTGGGCATATGCAACTTGCTGTTAGGGCAATGGTAAATGTAATCTTGAGGCTATCATGATTAATTTTCACTCATTTGATTTTGAACCTGCAAATTACACCAAAAAATTATCAGAAGTAACTATTCTAGCTAAGCTTGATCTTATTTTCACATACTAAAAATGTCACTGAAATGCTGTTGAGTATTGACTGAAAGTGACAAGTGATTATGAAAACTGGAAAACATTCATTGCCACTTAAAAGTATTTCTAGTCAGATAATATTGACTCMATGATATAATATTATTCTTTCTGGAAAGGTCTTTTACCAGGTTGTGATGTCTTTCTCCTAGTTGTGGTTTGGTTGTTATGCAGGAGGTTTTATTGGGGAGGGGTGAATTATTTTTCCTTCAGGAAAGTAAGAGAATACTGGCATGCTGTAGGAGGTTTCCTATATAACACTGCAGGGGCTGAAACATTTTGTGTCTTCTACACAGTGACTATGTACTTTATGTTCTGCTTTTCCATCTGAGTGAACTAATCTTGATGTTACCAATTAATTAACCTGTATGGTGCTCATACTGAGTTTGTATGTGGTGGGGGCATTGAAAGGTATTAATTAAAAGTGTATCTGAGAATAACTGCAGTACCTTGACTAGCTTCAGCAGCACCCCAAGCCAAGAGTGACTCCAATATTACAGCTGTACCTAAAAGCCTATTAGGCTGCATTCTTTTGTGCTAAGTACTCTACCCATATGAAACAAGTTATAATTTGAAAGAAAAATCAGGATGAAAACCTGAAACAAGCAGCAGAGATTTTTTTTTTCCTTTTGCATGGATTGCTCCATGTCACAGGCATAATAAAATAAGTGTTGACAGTATTTGCCACTATTGTGACACTGAGGTTTCACATCTCTTATGCTGGATGCTCATTCTGAGAAGACTGGTGTTCACTGGGAGTTCGTGCTGCCCATGGGAATGTGATTGCAATCAAATACAGACACTGTATCCTTGCATTTATAAGAAGGTTTCCAGTTAGAAAATGTGCTTTCGGTTTCATAACTTGTATTAAAAAAAGAATGAGCATTCCTAGTCTGTGATCTATAAGGAATGTTTTCCTGATGTTTCCACTTTGAACTTCCTAAATGAATCTCCCAGATGAGTGCATCCTACTCAATTCTCTTCAGGTTCAGCTCAAYGTAATAGTTTTGATAAGTAACTCCCCTAATCCAGTGCACCCCAAAAACATAGCTTGTYATTTTTGCTTGCTATCTTTTTGAAACTTTTCTTGGGCTCACAGATAACATCAATTTTTCTGCTTTTCAGAATCTGTCAAAAACTCTAAAATTTTCTTCTAATAGTTGGTGATTTGATACCCTCCCATATTTTATTGTGCCCAGTAAAATCAGAAGAGATAATACTACACTTTAAAATAAAACAACAAGATAACAAAATTTATCTCTTCATTACCTTTTGTAGTTTAGAGAAATAATTCTATGGATATTGAATTCTGAGATTTTTTTCCTCTTAATTTCTATAGCACATTTCAAAATTACAAGCAGTTAGTGAGTATGGCAGTTATTAATAATTACAGTGAGAATCTCCCACTTAGACCTGTCAAGCTGACATTATTCATTCTCACCACTGATTATAACTGTGGGGAATCAACTTTTCTGAAATTGATGCAGGCAGAAAGGGGTCATGTAGCAACCCTCATCCCTGGAAGTCCTGTCAGCTGCTTCTGACTGGGTGCAAATACAGGACACAAACTAGTGTACACAGGAGCTCTTAATGAGATCTGCTAAATTTTTGACTGAATTGTMGTGGCTCTTTGAAGATCAGTACTACCCCAAGTTTTATTCAGGAAGGAATTTTAGCTACCCTATTGCAGAAAATACTCTCAACCACACAGAGATTCTGCATTTTATCTAAGGAAAAGAAAAAGAAGAAAGAGATCTRTCTCAAAGAGATATATGGAAAATGGTGTTCCACAAACTTGACTAAATAATTAGGGKTTTTTTTGAGAAATTGAAAAAATCAAATGGAAACACTAATAGTCTAGATAAATTTGTCATTGCTAACCATGATTGCTTAATCAGATTTATGGATTCCATATCCTCCATATGATGGCAGCAGGAAAGGAACTTCAGAGCTCCCTTTGGCCTTGTCCAAAGTTGCCAGCCTAAGACTTTGCAACACTGGAGTTGAAGGCTGGGGTGATGGTTTTGCAATATACACATTTTAAAGCATACTGAGTATTTTTAGCCACCAGATTTTTTATCTTCCCTCTGCATGAAGAGCAGAACACAGTTGTTGACATTAAAAGATAAAAAGCTATTTTTATTCTATACTCTCAGTTAATTATTKCTACTAATTCAGTGATAGGTCGGCTATTTGGTAGATTCATGTCATTGTGAACGTGGATTTCRTAAGTCCAGTCTTTCTTACTGAGTTGATTTTGTGCCAATCCTGTATTCCTATATTCCGACAGCTTGTATGCCCAAAAGGTGTMTGTGCCTTTAAATGTGACMCAAAAGAAGGGGCAGGGGCAGCTGGGAATGCAGCATGCTTTTGGGTTGCCACCTGCCGCGGGCTTTTGGACCTCAGCTCACTTYCTGCAGTGGAGTTACATTGYTKCTGCTTAGCTAGCTGGGGTTTGTTAGCTTGGGCAAACAKCTCTCYCTGGGCTGYCACCCCTTYTGCRACTCCTGTGATTTTCTGGAGSGGATCAGCAGGGCTGTGGTCYGAGAACCAGGAGGCAAGTGCTGACCAGCYRGGYGCCRGMAGGGAAAAAGCTGTGGGTGCCACTCCGTATTGTCCCAGACTCCAGAGACGCCAAGCTGGCCAGAGGAAAGAACACCGAGCCCTCTGTTTCATCCACCGTGAGGAGAGRACTGCCTCCAGGTTTTTTCACTGTTGCCCGAGTGGCCAGAGGACCTTTTCTTTTGTTTCTTTTTTTCCCCCAGGGACAGGAGCCMCACCATCTTTCTCCTCACCACATGCTGAGCAGCTGAGGTGGGGAGGGAGCGGCATGCACTTTTGAGTTTTAAATATCCAATAGTTACTCATTTTTAATCTGTGCCCTGTGGGCACCTTATTTTGTTAATAAACTATTTTTCTCTTCATTTTGGCCCAAACATCTATTTCATATTGGTGGGAAAAAATTATCAATTTTTTTCACTTCAGAGGAAATATTTACTCTGTAACATTTTTCTCTGAAAACGTTGTCTCAAACCAAGACACTTACCCAGGGAGTGAACTCTTTACACTACAGCAGTATTCATTAGCAGCACTGAGTATATCCAAACAGCCTTCAATCTCTTTGTATTGTCATTATGAGTATTGTCACATATGGCAAAAGCAAAATTCTATTTTAAGCCTACAGATTGTACAATAGGGAAATAAAATACAGCCAGTAAGAGAACGTGTACATGTGATTGCATATGGAGTAATCAATAAATAAGAGAGCCAGCTGAGGCTAAGATAGATTTGTCAATATTTAAAAAAAAAAAAAAAAAAAAAAAAAAGAATCGAAGATTAATTTCTAGATATTAACCTTTATGCTGTGGGAAATGAACAAAACAGATCTGTTTTCTCTGTGAGTGACTGTTACATCTCTAATCAGTATTGGGGTGCATCTAGAATCTTGT